TAACCAGCATGGTGCGTTATTATTGCAACAATTTTTCAGCACCCTGTCTAGTAGTAACAAGTCTTTGTATTTTAATATAAAGATTTCAGACCTTGTGTATGGAGGGGTTGCGCAGGTCCATTGTTCGTGAGATGTTGTTGCGGCTGCGTGCTGTAAACACAATGTCTACCTGACGATTAAAAAATGGTTTTGTTAGTAATATTAGATAACTAATTTTGTTATTTCGTGCAGACTAGGACAGTCATCTTTATGTAAGATGAACCTTAGCATATTATTCAAAGAAGCAGTATGTCTATTTAAATTAGAATACGAGTTATATACTGTGATTTTTTTGATTGATTGATGCCCATAATTGGGTGAATGTGTCGATTAGAAACCATGCCCATAATTGGGTGAATGTGTTGATTAGAAACCCTGTTACTTATATAAGAACTTTACTGTACCACATTCAATCAAAATAAACTATTATTATTATGATTATTGTTGCCTTAAATCATTCGGTGGCCCAATTTTTTTCAATCTACACCAAATAAAATTTGAAGGAGTGCTTTCTGTCATACATGTTTTTCAATTGTTTTTGTCACTCGGATTTACAAAAAAAAAGAAAATTTCTTATAAACAATATTATTAAGTCTACGCTATAGTCTATTTAGTTATACAAAATTTCTAAAGTTATGCCATCCGTTTGCAAATCTACGGCGGGAGGCCTAATACTAAGTAGAATCGGTAAGAAACTCAACAGAAGCTGGTTTTTCTCCCTGTTTTATTAATAGAGACCTAAGTACCGCACTAGTGTTGGTGAATGTTCGAATGCTAATACTAGTAACCAGATTCCTTTGCCGCTTTAACCTTGTTTTGACACGCCCACGCCACGGCCCCAAACACCACACCGATTGCCACTGCAGTAGTAACAAACAGAGGTATCGTCTCCCAGTATTCCTTCATCACATATCCTAAATGCAATCGTTTGGGAATCGGAACGTCATATTGATTCGGAGGGATCAAGTCCGAATAGCGTTTTGCATTCTTTATTTGACACGATTTAAAATTCGTCGCAGTAGCCTTCAATAATTTCGATAACATTTTTTAAATGAAATGTAAGTATTTTTGTTAAATTCACACACACAAAATATTTTGTTTTCACAATTTGGATGACAACACGAAATAATGTGACGTTTAGAGTAAGAATTGCGTCAAAATAACGTCAGCAATTAATATAAATAAGAAGTTCGTATTATGAAAAGGACATCCATTTGAAACCTCTTTTGTTGTATTGTATTGAACGTCATGGTCAGAGATGGTATCTGACTATATATATTTTATTTATTTATTTATTTATTCATTTTGGGAAACAACAGCATTGAGTTACACATGAATATACATAATTCAATTAAGTAGTACAGTAGCCTAGACAGTTTCCACTGCTAAACACGTGCAATGCTATGTCGAACAAACAATGAACAACGTTACAGTTAATAATTTAAGTTATTTTTTTTTTTTTATAAACGATAAACTAGGAATAACATGACATGAAAACACAAATTGAAGTCTCAAGATCACAAACATTCACAGCAACTGTAATAGGTATGATTTAAAGTAACTGAGAGAAAATTATAGTTTATTCTTTATCAGTTTTTTAAATTGATGTGGTTTGAGATTGAAGATATCAACATGACCATATTCAGAATTGTAAGCATTCATAGTTCTAACAACGAAACGGTTATTAGCATAATTAGTTCGGCTCCAAGGAACGGAAAAAGTATCCCTAGAACGCAGGTTACTCCTTGGGCACTTTAAAAGGACTTTACTAAGTAAATAAGGAGAATCAACATAATTGTTGATGATTTTATATAACAATGTTAAGTCCCTATGCTCCCTTCTGCGCGACAGTGATTCAACTTTGTCCTCGCAAAATCCCTGAAACCTGTATTTCAGCCTCCTTATAAATTTGTTTTGGATTTCTTCTACAGCTTTAATATATATCGAATACTTCGGGTTCCAAACAGTAGACGCATATTCAAGATGAGATCTAACAAAGCTATTATATAAAATTAATACTGTTTCTACATTCGTAAAGTCTTTACTCTGGCGAAATATGAAACCTAACATTCTGTAAGCCTTGGTTGTAATTTTGTTGATATGAGATGACAAAAGCAATTCACTGTCCAGGGTAACACCCAAATCCCTGACCTCAGATTTTTTTGAAAGAAAGTTATCAAAAAGTTTATATTTGAAATTTATTTGTGTTTTTTTTCTAGTGAAATTGATATAACAACATTTATTAATATTTATAGACAGCTTATTTGAGGCACAGTAATTACATAAACGATCCAGGTCCTCTTGAAGTTTAATACAATCTTCAGCAGATTTAATGATAGAAAATATCTTTGTGTCATCAGCAAATAATAAAAATTTAGAATTTTGAAAACATTCACTGACATCATTTATAAAGATGTTAAATAGCAAAGGACCGAGGTGAGAGCCCTGTGGAACTCCGGACGGAATTGGTATGAAACTAGATTTGTAGCCCTTTATTGTCACAGCCTGGGTTCTGTTCAGTAAATACGAACGCAGCCACCTTAGGAGGTCACCATGTATACCGACGTACTCCATTTTTCTAATTAATATTTGATGCGATATTTTGTCAAAACATTTAGAGTAGTCGGTATAAATGGCATCCACCTGATAACCGTCATTCATTGCACACAATACTTGATCTAAAAATTCACATAAATTTGTCTCAGTGGAACGTCCTTTCATAAAGCCGTGTTGTTGAAGCATTAGTATAGGTTGTACGACCGCGTATAGAGAATCAAACACTATCTTTTCAAAAATTTTGGGTAATACGGACAATTTAGAAATACCCCTGTAATTACGTACATCATGTTTATCTCCACTTTTAAATATAGGAACCACCAATGATTTCTTCCACTCTAACGGCATCACCCCACGCGATAACGAAAGGTGGAATAAATATGATATTGGGGCTGCCAATTGTTTATAACATGTTTTTATAAAATAAGGGTGAATGCCGTCTGGTCCACAACCCTTATTTGCATCAACCCTAGATAAATATTTTTCAACCGTGTCCAAAGAAAAATTAACAGTGTTAATGATACATTCATTTTGTTCGCGAGGTAAATTTATAGTTGTTGAGTCTGAATCAACTTCGAAAACAGATTGAAAAAATGTATTGAACATATGTGCAATCTTTGAGCCGTCAGAACTCGTGAAATTATCTAAATGAAGTGTCTGAGGAATGCAACTGTCACCCTTTTTCGATTTGACGAACGTCCAGAACTGCTTACTGTTCCTTTTTATGTTAGTTTCAGCATTGGAGATAAATTTATCGTAGCATAATCTTAGTAGTAATTTTACTTCTTTACGCAATTTAGAAAACTCAAGAAAATCATAATACCTGCCATAAGTTTTCCATTTTTTGTGTTTTCTTTGCTTCTTTTTAATAAGGTGAATTAAGGGCCGCGAAAACCAAACCGGATAACGATTCACATGCTTCAATGTTTTCTTTGGAACTCGAACTTCAATGATTTCATAAATAATCTTATAAAACATTTCCACCGCAGAATCCATATCCAAGCCATTTAGATGTTGCTTCCAATCAACCCTAGCAATATCGGATTTAATCACCTCATAGTCGGCTGCATAGAAACAGTAAACAGTTCGAGACAGGGGCTCGAGCAAAGAGTCACCATCGAGATCACATTCGATAATCAATGCAGGATGATGCTTATCTTCCGGAAGTGATAATGGCTCCGCCCGAGTAACCCTACACTTAAAACTACAAATAACCAAGTCAAGACACCTTTCATTTATGTTTTTAACGTTATTATATTGTGACCAACTTGTGAAATTCAAAAACATATGCAATTGTAATACCAGTGGGTTAATATATGGATTAAGTAAATACACACCAGAGTCATTTTCCTCACTCCAAGCTGCCTCTCGAATATTAAAATCTCCTACAAGGATATAATCGTTATCAGGCTCATTTGATGAAACTTCAGACACATGGTCAAAGAATAAATGTTCGGCTAATTCTTGGTTTGGGCTCTGTAGAAAATAACAGCAAAAAATACAAACTCTTTTATTATAATGTCCACTATTTAGAGCAAGATTAATACAAGTGATCTCGGTATCCACGAGAGAGGGTAGGGGGCGTACTGAACGTACATCTACGGATAATCCCTGGCGGACAGCAATTAGTGTACCACCTCCCTTCTTAGAACCGTGCCTATCATAATCTCTGTCTTTTCTATAAACATTGTAGCGACTATCGAATAATTCAGCATCAAAAATACCAGGTAATAGCCAGGTCTCGCTAATACAGATTACATCGTACTCAGTGTTTAATAAATTTCTCAAAAATAAGTCCGTTTTAGTTCTTAAGCCACGTACATTTTGATAGAAAATTCGTATTACCATTTAAAAATAAAAGTAATTAAAGTAAAAGCTTATGGATAGTACTAACTCACCGAATAAAACAATCCCACAATATAACAAATACTGCACAATGGTCACTAAGCACGAGTATTTTATATAATAATGAATGATAATATTAATCTCACCAATAAAGTAAAAACATATATTGTAAAATGTTAATGATACTTTGAATAAGTTAAAATTTAATACAATTAATAAATTAGACTGACGGTACCTCGAAAAAATATTAAAATCCGACAAGTAATTACGGTATATTTCGCTAATGTGTGAATAGATTACTGCACCCCACAAAAACGACAAACCAACATAATTAAGGAGGCGAGCAATGGACACCACAGACATCGATATCCTAACATCGTTCACACGAGCCAGACCAACTGCGCAAAGAATGATGACCGAACGAACAGCGCTTCTCAAATATTTGTCATGTTGATATCTGATATCTGTCATTAAGATATTTTTTTTATGGAATATGAAATCTATTGATCTAATTATAAGCAATAACAAAACGATATGAAATAATAATATATAAATAGCACTTATGTAATCTTCTTTAAAGAATCCTCCGAGTTGATATGAAGTACTGGAGATGTTTCATTCTTTCGAACCATAATGGTACAATTACGTACCCAGCAAAAGGCATAGTTTTTTTCCTTTGACTTCATTTTAGCCTGGCGAAGTAGGAATTTATTTTTTGTTGACAAGTGATCATTAGCGTAAACACGGCTATCAGAAGAGCCAAAACCAAGGTCACTGGCTTTTATATTTTTTAAGTTACGTATAGCCGCTAAAAACTCGTCCTTTCTATATCTCGACTGCATTTTTAAGATTATTGGTTTAGGTCTTTTATCGTTATGATCCTTGACAGCAATTCGCGTCACAAAATCAATATCAGTATCTTTCAGTGGAAAGCTACAGCGATCGGCAAGGCGCTTAGTTACATTTATCAAATTTTCACCACTTTTGAAAGGAATTCCATTTATCTGTATATTAGATCGCCGCACCCATTGCTCACTTCTATTGTTATCCTCCACCAGAACATTTATAATCTTTTTTAGATGATCTAATTCAGTTTTAGCATTTTCAACGGCGCTTATACGAGACTCCAAGTTTGAAACGCGATCAGATATGTCATCTATTCTCGAATCAAGAGAGGCTTTAAGGTCCGCAACATCCGCTTTAACTTGCTTTAAGTCAGATTCAATTCGATGGAATGATTGGAACTCTGTCTGAAGCCCAGTGACTATAGCCAAGATATCCTTGAGCGTTTCATCATGATCAGATGGTTGTCCATTGTCCACCTCAGAAAGCTTCATTTTAGGTCCTAATGTTGTTTTTGCGACAACTGGGGTTCGGCTTGATGTAGCAGACGGTGAAGCATCCTCTGAGTGCGTAACATTGGTATCCCGGCAATTAGAACATATCCACTTGTCTCTTCTGGACCCCAATCTGTTAAATCCTCTTTCAGATATACCACCGCATCCAAAATGATATCTACGTTTGCATGTAGAACACTCCGAGCCGTGTCCGACAGTATCGTTACAGGTTCCACATTGACTTGTAAACATTTTGAGAACCTCTGATTCAAAGATGAGTCACGAAAACGGGAATTAACAGCTAACCAAGCGCGTTATTGCGTGTTTGCTCGACACTCGTACGCAAACGACTTTTGATACTGATAATAAGGCCGAAGAGTTTGGTCGTTTGATTGAAGTTTATAATTTTTATTTTAATTATTATTTTACTCACGTTTAGTCTATTCATCGAGAAGGGCTATATAAGATCACGCTATGGCTTATAGGAGTGGAGTAGCAATATTTTTTTTTGCAAAAACGGTAGAATATTTTACTTTTTTAAAGCTTTTCTTGTGTGCGCTGCGTAAATGGTGAAAGTTACGCAAAAATCATTTATTACGAAACTGATCCCCTTAAAAAGTTCTAAAAAATAGTTCGCGGCAGTATATATATATCGTAAATCGTGTCCGGACAAAAAAACACATACATATTGGGATGAAAACCGGAGTGAAAGTTCGTATAGTGTACCGTAGTATAATCGTTACCATAGAAACCACAGAACATAGAGAGAGAATAGAAGTATAATGATATTGATTTAGTATGGGAACCGAGTGTCGCCTCTCCGCACACAAATACAGATTAGATGAAATGATCATTTTGTTCACTACATGAAAAACTGCCACGCGATTCGTTCGTGATAACATAAACAGAATCCCAAAAAGATACTAAGCTAAGAAATCACACGATTAAAAACAAACTCTAATTCAACGTGATAATAAATAATTTACTTTAACATGAATGTTGAACTGTCACGTGGCTGTATACGGGAATACCAGAAGGGGAAAAATATTTTAAGATTATGCACATTTTAAAAAATTGGGGACATCATTTTATGTGCGAACTATTGAGATTAGATTTTGCTGTAACCAAGTGAATATTAAAAAATAACGCTTTTCCCTATATAACTTCTTTTAAAAAACGCAGTACAAAAACTAAGAAAACTTAATGATTAACTCTATCATATGTCTGTGGAGTAATATAATTAAGCGAGGGAAAGTGTAAAAAAAAAAAAACAAAAATTAAGAAACCAACAGAATTTTTGAATTAATTACATTAAGCCTAATTTGTAATTTTTTCTTACTGGTATCATTCCGATTGTGGATATTAGTGATGTGACATAATAGTAGTTGATGAAATAAGAGGTTTAAATTTTGTTATGAAACAGTAAAATGTAATTCAGTTCGACAATGTTCTACAGTGGTTTGATAGTAATTATTTAAAGCTTAATTCAAATAAAATGAAATACATAAAGTTTGCATTACCTAATGTGAGGCATATTAATACACTTATAAATGTAAATAGTGAAAAAGTTGAGTTGGTGAAATCGACAAAGTTCCTTGGTATTACACTAGATTCCCGACTGCAATGGGATCCTCATATTGATAATTTGTCAAGTAGACTGAGTTCTGCAGCATTTGCTGTTAAGCAAATTAGACTCTTGACAAATGTTGAAACGGCAGGATTGGTATATTTTAGTTATTTTCATAGTGTAATGACGTATAATCTATTGTTGTGGGGTTCTGCGGCTAGCATTCAAGATATTTTTATTCTACAAAAGAGAGATGTCCATGCTATATATAATTTACGGTCTAGAGAATCTCTCAGAGAAATATTTAAAGAAATAAATATTTTGACTGTTGCCTCTCAATACATCAATGAAAATATTATCTACGCAAGAAAACATTACGATTCCTTCACAAAAAAAAAGTAGTGTTCATAATCATAACACGAGAAATAAAAATAAACTTGCCGTTCCAAGCTTCAGACTTCAGAAAACCAGAGGATCAATGCATTTACATTGCTATGTTCAATAAAGTTCCACAAAATGTAGTTGACCTACCCATAAATAAATTTAAAATTCATGTAATGAACATACTTATGAGTAAAGGCTATTATAAAGTTGATGATTATTTTAAGAATCGCAATGCATGGAATGAATAGCCATCGCTTTGTTCTATAAAGACTAATTATATGTTCAACCTATGTCCTACAGACTTTGAAAGTTGTATTTATTATTGTGATAAGATATGAAATGACATGATTTATGTAAATATCATAGGGCTGGTAAGTTTCTTTCGCTTGTTCTTCTTGTCAGCTAAAAGACGTCCTGAACAAGTGGTAGGGGAAAAAAAAATTTTGGACGATTCAAAAGCGATTCATAATAACTAATATGATCATTACAATAATAAATTGATCATAGCCATGTTTATTTTACTTTATTATTCTAAGTTTTATAACTGTAATAATATTAGTACCTACATTTTTAATTGCAACGACTGGACAATAAGGAATCGCTGGTCAAGTATGAGTTTGAAAGCCGTGACAAAAAAGTTTGAAGACAGACACAAAAGCGATAAGTACGTACAAACGTCAATCTACATATAAAGTCACATCCGTTTGAGACATGCGTCTATAAACTTATGTGCAAATATGGAGCAACAAAAAAACTGATAAAAGCTGTTCTGTTGGCGGTTCTTTAAAGTGGCTATCTTAACTCGATTTCTATAATAATGGTTTCCGATTATGAATCAGCATAATAAAGTAAATTAAATTGACGCCTATAAATTAATTTTGTAAATTAAATTCACACCACCAACAATATTACGTTAGTTGAAAACATGATTTTTTGTTTGTATAGATAATATGTTGTTTTGAAATTCATTTGATAGGTTTAGGTCTAAAACGGATAGGACAAAATAAATTATGTAAACAGGGCAATCCGTTGTAAAGTTATTAGGGAAACTGAAATATAAGTAATGCAAAATAAGTGAAATCCAGTTTCACCAGTTTCTAATAAGACCTATTAGGCCAACACTCGTAGCTTTTCACGAAGTTTCGTTTGATTTATATATTGTTCATAAAACGTTGATACGAGGGTCAAACTGAAAGTTCTTAGAAAATCAAAAACTGATTACATTAGCCAGTTATTAGTTTTATTATATCTTTTCAAAATATTGTCCATTCACGTCAATACACCGCTGCATGCGATGGAACCACTGGAAAAAGCACTTTGCCCACTCGTCCTTAGGGGTCTCTTCAATGGCATCGCGATACGCAGCCACCGCTTCTTCAGCATTCATAAACCGCTTTCCTTTAAGTTTTTCTTTAATTTTTGGAAATAAATAAAAATCACAAGGCGCGAGGTCGGGGCTATACGGCGGGTGACCCAGTAATTCAACGTTTGATGTCGCCAAATAGTCGATCGTTCGCTTGGCGGTGTGCGACGAGGCGTTGTCGTGGTGAAGGAGGATCCTACTGCGAGGTCGTTTCTCTCGAACTTTTTCCAAGACAAGTGGCAAACAATTGGTAGTGTACCATTCTGCAGAAACTGTTTTTTGATCCTCTAACACAATTGTTGCAAAATGACCTATCCTTCCAAAGAACGAGGCCACCATTTTTTTTCCCGCACTTCGATCTCTCTTCACTTTAGTTGGCAACTCCTCGAAAGGAAACACCCACTGAGCAGATTGTCTTTTGGTTTTAGGATCATAACAGTAAATCCAGCTTTCGTCACCTGTTAGTATGTCGAACACAGCATTTGAGTCACCTCCGTTAAATCTTTCAATCATTTTACGACACCATTCCACACGATGGAGTTTTTGAGCCTCAGTCAAATTATGAGGTATCCACCGGGCGCAAAGCTTCCTGACCGCTAAATGTTCGTGGAGGATTTTGTGCACTTGACTCATACCGATGCCTAAGCTTGTCCGAATCTGTTGATAGGTCACTCTTTTGTCTGTCTCTATCATACGCCGCACAACACAGATGTTATCTTCAGTCGTCGCCGTAGAAGGCCGTCCCTCACGTAAATCATCAGTGAGATTAGTGCGACCACGTTTAAACTCATTAAACCAGTTGTAAACAGTCGCACGAGATGGGGCTTCATCGTGAAAGGCCAATCGTAGTCTATCATAACTTTCTTGTTGACTTAAATGACATCGAAAGTCATAAAAAATCATTGCACGAAAATTTTCTCGTGTTAAATTCATGATGACGTGACACAGACAATTTTCAATTTGCCGCCAAATCGTAAAACAAATGACAAATGAATGAAATATATACTCAGTAATATTGGCAAAGAGTTATATTTTCAAATTTTAGAATTATTTTTTTATTATATTGTTTATAAGTGGCCAGTTCTAAGAACTTTCAGTTTGACCCTCGTATACTTCGTAACTTAGATATTTATAGCACATCAGTATTTTTTAATATTTATCTGCGTGTAAATAATTAACCGAATCTTCGTAAAAAAGTGCCTGAATAGTTCATTATTTCATCTGTTCAGTATAAATTCATCTTTTATTTTCAGGAGGCACAGCACTATTTTTTGCAAAAGTGCACAATATGATTTACATTGCTGTCTAGAAACGAGGTTAGAAACATTAATGTTGGTTTGAGCAAACAATGTATATTTTATTTGAAATTGTGTCAAATTATTACGTTTTTTATATTTTAGCACTAAAATTGTACTTACCAGTGAAAGGAAATGTTTGCATTAGTTAGATTGTATACTTTGTTTTGCTTTTTGCAAGTGATAATAGGACAAAACGGTATTTTTTATAGAAAAAATCAGTAAAATCACCACTCGACGATTGACGAACGACTGACAAATATAAAACCGAGGAAAGGGCGTCATATGAGTAAAAGCGCATATGCCAGCGACGCTTGCCCCGCCCACTTACTACTTCTATTCTCTCTCTATGTTCTGTGATAGAAACCATTGTTACATTGTTAATTGTCACAATTCAATTTGTTATTGTAATTATATTCTATCAGTCAGTTGCACAAACGTCCATTAAAATTTGCATTAGTTTAAAGTAACATTAGCCATACGAATTTGACATTCATTAGAGCTTAAAGGCGTCATTTAACCTTAATGGACGTTTATGCAACCAACCGTATATCTCTCTTCTCCAAATCCATCATTAAATGATTTATGCTTTTTATGCAGGATTAAATAATGTTTTAATTAATTCAAATCGTTACAATCGCTGTCGGTGGTGTTAAAGGCATATGTTGTTTGTTAAGTAGACGAAAATGTTACATTTAGTTCAGCTACTGTACTTTTAAAACGAGATTTAGTTTTTTGTTATGTTGGTAATAATTTTGCCAATTTTTCAATAAGATAATTAAACGAGGAATTGTAAATCAGGCGAAAAAATAAAACGATACAATTAACGCTAGATGGCGCTACTGTATTATTTTCGGTACATTTAGTTCAGCTACTGATCACTAGATGACGCTACTGTACTTTTAAAACGGGATTAAGATTTTTGTTATGTTGGTAATAATTTTTCCATTTTTTCAATAAGATAATTTAACGAGGAATTGTTAATCAGTCGAAAAAATAAAACGATACAATTAACTTTTTCGCTAGATGACGCTACTGTATTATTAAAACGTGGTTATGATTTTTTTTTAATGTTTGTCGTGTTATTGTTTCTCCGACTTTTATTTAAAAAAAAAAAATATCTTCTCATTGCACAATACCCCACGTATTGTTGGATAAGTTTAACAATAATATTAGGAGTGTGGGAGACTACTTATAAAGTATAAGACTGAAATAATAAATTTGATAAAAAATACTGAGTATACGTAATTACATATGTTAGATGCCTACAAATTGAAGGGATGGTAGAATATTCGTTGGCAAAATTTCACGTACGTCACGCTCTAAAATCTCGAAAAATACTGGATTAAGAAAGCAAGAACAAGGTGAACATTAAGTTGCTATGAAGATCAGGCGTAGAATAAGACTTCAATAAAAGGACTCTTATTTCAAAGAATACATTTGCTTTTAATTTTGCAAGGCGCACTAAAATGGAAAGTAGAGCAACTGCGACATGCGCGTTATACACAGAAACACACAATAGATTTTCCTTAATTGGTTCCATCTATTGGGCAGGTCTATGCCCTTGTAGTGGGGACGTTGATAAGCTAATGATGTTGATATAAAGGTGGATCCTTACTGGCAGACTTTTAATTAAGATTAGCTTAAGACTCCAGTATAGCAGTACCCTCGGAGCACATGGGCAAACACGCGGGTAACATCTAGTCTGGATATATTGTTAAAGTCGCACAAAACAGTACATTCAGTATTCATAAGTGAAGTCATAACTTTTTTAATTCTTAATCAATTTTGTATGAAGTGTTTACACGACTGTCCAAAACAGGAGTTAATTGTATTTAGGGCTCAGACCAAATAAAAAGTAATTAAGGTTAATGTATGTATGTAAGTGGGTTTTTTTATTCCATCAAGACTTTTGTAAGACTTAACGGATGTAATCTTAAGACTGCAATAAGAATTTTATTTAGTCAATCCATAATAGAACTTGTTTCTTTAATTTCTTCTTCTTATCTTTAATGGCAACTTTGCGTCAACCACAATTCTGCTAACGGCAGTCGTGTTTTTTGATTTATAATGATTTATTTAAAATGTTCTTTTATCTGATTCCAATAGTTTTTTTACAATCATCAGATAAAAGATCTGGGTATAATATTAAAAACTTCATGCTTCATCCACTGGCTATTTAGAAGTAAAGATTAATTAAAAAGAAAAATTGCCATAGATTAAATGAAATTCAAAAGTCAAATGTTTTATAATTTTAAATCACTATTTTTAAAGAAAATATTAACTTTAAGTGCAACTGTTTTGGTAACATCGAGATAAAGAAGCAAAATATTAAAATGATTTCAGACAATGGAGGCCACGTGTAAAATATTGGAACAGATTAAAGGTATCGAACTTGACATGTTGACAGTCATGTATTACCTTATAGGTACCAAGGCAATCGCCAGAACCTTTCCTCTTCCTTAAAATGTTGTATAAGGAATGTTAGTACGATTACACAATAATAATGCCTGTTTTCTTTGAATTTTGCCACAGCTTGGTGAAGTAACAAGCTTCCGTTTTCAGGAAGTTTTGGACCCGTTCGAAATGTTTTCTTTCCTTTGGTCGGTCTTAAACTATCATCAAGTTAAAAACTTTTGCCAGTATTTTATGCGCATCAAGACAACGGATATTGCTGTCAAAAAACGGCCATTTCATGTTGTTAGTGATTATTTTCAGTTCTTGTCTTCGCATGTCGGAAGATGATGTAACCGTGAAACCCCAATATTTAATTTAGCGATTTTCACAGTATCAGTGTAAGAGTTAACATATAGCTAAGAGTAAATTTATAAATCTCATATTGTCAGGCGTCGCTGGGCTGAGGACTGGTAATGACCCTCCGCACTCCGCGCCGCCGCATCTCACCCAGGGCCAAGCGTCGTTGCCGGGCTATAAAAGATTTCCTGCGGAGAGCCTTAGGTTTGTATTTTAATATCATAATATTTAACGAAGTGCTTTCGCACCACGAAGTGATATCTTTTAATTGTTTACACAGTGTTAATTAAAAAAACCGCATTAGATATATATGTATTATTATAAAAAAAAATGATTTTTTATAGGAACCTCATCGCAACCAGACATCAAAATAAATTCTAGTATAGCTATCAATGTTACTGATTTGAAACACAAAATAAATGGTTTGGAACATCAGCTTAACGAAGTGAATAAACACTGCCAGGATTTAGCATGTCTCGAAACAAGTTCCCCGAAAGACTGTCCTATTCTCGTGGACACTGAAGACGGTACTGAATTGGCTTCAATGAAAGAACAGTCCGAAATTTCATCAGTTAAAAAATCCAGTGCAGTCGAAACGAGGCTACTATACAAAACGCCTGAAAGCGATTATAGAAAATCTAGCGGCCGTCTTAGTAACGTTTACGATGATCCCTACAGTAAATGTAATGTAAAATTAGATAAGATGGTTCCCGAAGAGTACACGAAAGATGACAGGCTTAAAAAAAGAAAGAGAAGATTGGATGCCAGATTAAAGGCGGCCGACGGTAGCCAGCCTCGTCTATGCAAACATAAAACTCGGTCTGTTTATGAGAAAATGGTGTCTAATGTATCCACTAGCAGCTACCACTCACTTATCGAGCCTCGTACTACTCATACTTGCTATAACACCGATTCTGTACCCCATCATGAGAAGAAACGTAATCAAAGATTTTACCTTGAACCAAAACCCATGAATACGGAGAATAGAAAAACTCGTCGAGACCTTATCAAAAGAAACAGTCCTGAGAACGTAATTAAAAGCTATTCCAGACACAAACGTAAAACCAATACTTCACGTGATCTGGATCAAGATTTTATTGAAGACCTAATTAAACGACAGTACAAACCCATGAAAATGTTCAGTAAGCGAGAATCTTTATTAAGCCAAATATCGGCACCCGTATGTCGTGATCGAGAGTTTTCGATACGAGAAGATATTATAGAAGGTTCTGATCTGTGTTCTTGTTGTGTTGATGGGCGAAAAAAAATCAACCATCGATATGAAAAACAATTAAATGATAAGCGCAGCATCTGTGATACTCGACTTTACAGTTCCAAAAACCAAATGCGTCGAAAGCAACATCATCGAAGAGACGATGTATATAATAGACACTATGATATCTATAATGATGCTGAGCAATATGATCTTATACCGGTAAAAGAAAAGTCTAGTCCCAAATCGAGACGTAAAATGTTTGTAGATATAACTCCCTATAGCTACTACAGAGAAGTTCCACCATCGCCAAGAACGCTAAGACCTAAGCTGAATCTTAAAGCTCAGTATTATACAGAATTTGAAGATTATATGATGCACCGCAAGAATCCTAAGCGTAAAAATTATTCTCCACATAGATATAGAATGTTTCCAAATAATTTTGAGAGCAATGTACCCTCAGATATGTTTGAATATTACAAAGAAAAACGCGAATCTCAGACAAGTAAAAAAAATAGGGAAGAAAAACAAGTACAACATGATGCTGCCACGATAAGTGGCCCACTATCTCCAAAACAAAATAATATTGCAAATGACAATTCTTTTAATAAATCTCATGACTCTGATTTATCAGAGAATAAAACCGATAAAGCTCTTAGTGAGATTAAAAATATACTTCAAAGCTTTTTACAGGAGATAAAAAAGGAAACTGTCTCTCAATGTGGTAATTCTGATATTATGACATCCAAAACTGGAGACAAATGTTTAAATGAATTTCGACCAAGTAGTACCAAACTGAACACGTCAGTGGTGCCTGAGAGTGGTCTTTGCGTCAATAACTTTGGTATTCCGCAATGTAACATGCCTCCTCCTTTCATACCTCCATTCGCAAATACTTGTTGTTATCCTATACTTCCTATTTGTCCCATGAATTGCGTTAAAAGTGGATTTATTTTACCAAGTCCAAGTTACACTTGTAACTGTGTGAATAATTCTAAAGATGGTCAACCTAATCAGAATGAGTCTGACACCACAAAAACTGGCACTGAAACTGAACAATTGATAAAAGAAATCTACAAAGTTGTGGCGCAAAATACAAATAGCGTGCGAAAAAATAAAAATGAGACAATAGATTCGCCTAAAGGTTGTAAGGATGAAAAAATATTAACATGCAGAAGCGCAGGTGGCAGTTGCCGAATTACCAAACACGATGTTGAAGTGGCGACGCAAAAAGTAAAGTGTCATTCTAAGAGCTGTGAAGCTATCGGCTCCAGATTGACCTCCGACACTTACTATTCTCGGACTAACCCGACTTATTCTGATACTATACTGGATAGGCTTAGTCTTGAAGCTACTGCTTCGAACATGGAGTCAGAATCAAGCAGAGAACAGATTAGTATTAAAAAGGTGAGAGTTATGAATTACGAGTAATTTAAGTGAATATAGTGGATATATATTAATTATATTTGATTAATTTTTCATTAACAATGCTACTGATAAATGTGGGGGTATTGCCCAGTTCAGGGTTGCTCTTTTTGCCTTTTGGATTTTTTGGACATTTACTTGTTCTATCTATTGCAATTACATTTCTGCTTCTTATTTTCTTCTCTTTGCTTAATAAAATTGTTTTCTTAATATGACAATTTTCCAGTTTATATCTCTATTTTACACATCTTTTCTCACTATGTGCATTTGGGTGCGTCAATTTTTCATACATTGTTATTGTTACGTTTATATTACTACTAAGCTTATGAGACCAAAGGCTTATCGTGCTTTCCGACGTACCTAGGTAATAAATTTTTGGTCACCCGTAATGAACAACCAATGAATAACTCGGTGCCGTAGTGGAAAAGCACCGCGACGCGTTATTCTTGTTGTTAAGCAACTTTCGGAAGGATCGGTCACGAGATAGGTGACCAAAAAATTATTAACTCGAGCTACTCCTGCTTTGAAAGAAACGTTAAGCCGTTGATCCAGGTTGCATTTGCAGTCGTTACTATCCTCCAATCGACATTGAGCCAGCGAGGAAGGTCATGGCCCATCCTCCTTAACCATCCACATGGAAGGCCTGAGCCCCTGCAGTGAGGAAGAAAAAGGGCTGATGATTATAATAATTATCAACTTGCTTATATTGGTTTTTTATTTAAATTAATTTTTAGAAATATTGGTAATTTTCTTTGCAGGATGTTAAACAAAACAAATTTGCAAGAGTTCTCCGTTCATTTGGTCTACTTAAAAAGAAAAAGGATGTGATTGAAGAACTTAGCGAAAGCGAGAGTACAGTCGAAGTTAGTATAGAAGCTAAGCAGCCGTTCCGTCAGGAAATAACAAATTATTCGATGTATAGTGAGGAATATGATAACCGTCCACCGATAGCGAGGCAGAATGATCCTTACCACCCGTATATGGATTATCGACATGGTTACGCTCGAACTCCCACGAGTTGCTTCCATGGCTGTCCAAGACATGTGACTTCTCCTCATTCGCCAATGTACGACGGCTATAATAATCATAAAATTCCCTATGCTCAACGTACAGAATCTCCATATGGGTCCCCACGACCTCATCCGTCTGCTCCTCCTTATCCCAACCCCTACGATCACCATCATCACAACCAACCTCAAGTACCATTGTGCTTAAAGGAAATAGAAGTGAAAAGTACGGGTACGCAAAGTGAGAGGAAAATGCCGTTTTTCAGAAGGCTAAAGAAAAAAATGCAAGAACCCGTAACAGTGCAAAGGACAGACGATTGCGGACCCATAAACTGTTCTACTCAAACTGCCGAGAAACCACAGCCAGCCAAATTACTACCAACTAGTAAACTAGCAAAGATAAACTGGAAGACTTTACAGGCTAAAGTACACGAGTTAGACAACGCGGACAATTTTACATTTAAAACGCAGAAAAATTTGGCTGAAGGTGATATTAAAATGAGAAATGCAATGCTCAGAAAGTTATTTCACAAAAGGAATCCGTTCTCTCCTAGGAACTTAATTGTGCGCACCCTTCTTGGAAAAGATAAATCTAGCTATGGTGATCCACCGATGTTGTATAGACCGCGTATGTTCGTGTAGGTGTTGTGTGTCGAGTAAAAATGCTGTGTCGTAAAATAAGTGAAAATTATTAGGTGCTTGTTCTATGTCAGTTGTTATTGTTTTGAGTTAAGAAGTGTTAAAAACAAGATAAGCGTTTCATTTTTAGGATCGGTGCATATCCTATAGTAGATATATCGTGTATCATCTGTCACGGAACCTCAGAACCAGTGGCGTAACTACGGAACCACGTGGCAAGTCGGCAAAATGACACGGGCCCCCAGCCCCCAGCTGGAAGGAGTCCCCGGTCAAAGGAGACTCGTAAAAAAAATTGAATATCCGATGAAATTACGGGCGTCAAACGGTATAGTTACGCCACTGCTCAGAACTTATTAAATAAAATATGTGTTGACGAGCCAGTTGCTATTCCACCTAGTCCGGCTTCGGGTCGGTATTACTTACAGTCAGATACAAGTGCATGGTTACTGCCCGATTCGCGAATGATGGCTTATCGGTGGAAGTGCCGCTTCATTCACATGTATTACGGACGTATAAATAATCACTGGTGGCCGGGCGTAAGGTCGCTTAATGGTTGGCTCGGCGAGAAGCTGGGTTGTGAACACACGCACTAACGATGCTCGTCAACAGTGAGACCATCTATTCATCCTGGCCTGAAGTATATCCGCGCTGGAACATTGTATCTCCGAGTATTTCTATCAGTATTAAACAACGTGCTCTATCATATTGTTATTGGCTTATAACACTTAAATAATGTTTATAACTTGCACATTAAACCGATGATAGATATATGATACGTTGCGACCACTTCCGTCATACAAGCTCATTAAATGTGCTTTAGATTTGCACTAGCGTATTAAATTTCGAAAATGAACAAATCATTATCTTTTTTAATTTTAGCTCTTCGTGTTCCATTAATATATCAATAATGATAAACTTCATTGCACAACAAAAGAGAACATACAAGAAACACAAAAATAGCGAAGCAAATGGCGGCCTTATCGCTTAAAAGCGATCTCTTCCAGGCAACCACAAAAAAGGAAATTAGATACGGAGAACAATTTGAGTAAAAGTATACTTTCTATATACAAATATACAACGCAATTAACACACACACATACACACACACACACAAGCACAAAAACTTAGCTTACAGAAATTTACTAATGTTATCTACAATAAAAAATCCTAAGTCTCCCTAAAGGACTTAACGTTGCCCAATGTAATAGGCGATAATTGCGACCATTGTATTTTAGATACCAAACTAGGACCACCCACCACAATTGCCTGTGTTTTTAAAGGATTTAGTTTTAAACTATAAGATACACTCCAATCACTGATTATAGCTAAATCTCTGCCGAAGCCAAATTATCCAAGGAAGCTTGAGAATAAATTTGGAAGTCATCTGCATAAATGTGGTATGATGAAAGAAGTTTATTGGAGACAGAATTAATAAATATGGCAATTAGTAAAGGACCAGCACAACTGTCGCATCAGACGGAAAAAGAATCTTCAAGCAGACCCATTGACGGCGGCCGATTACGTAACTACCAAACCAGTCAATAATCGTTGGAGATATGTTAATAGAGCGCGGTATGCCAAGCAGAATATCAAAGTCGATAGTATTGAATGCATTGCTAAAATCTAGTAGGGAGAGAACTGTTAGTTTCCCTTCCTCCATGCCTACTCTAATGTCGTCTGTGATATGAACCAAAGCCGTAGTAGTTCTATGACCTGGTCGGAAACCTGATTGAAAAGGATTTAGGAGTTTATTCTTGTGCAGGAAAATGGACAGCTGGTTGTGCATAAAGCGTTCGAGGGCTTTAAAAAAGAAAGGTAAATGGGAATGGGTCTGTATTCAGAAAAGGAAGAATGGTTGGATTTTTTCAAAAATGATTATTTTGAATCGCAAATATATAGTTATTACGTTATGTGTAATGAGACCAAAATTAGTGACCATTTTGATATACTTTGAACCCAAGAAACTATATTTTAAATACTAATAACCTTTATTGTTTTAAATTTAAAAAAATAATTATTATATTTGATCAATTTTGAATTCACAAAATTAACGAAAATAATTCTTACTGAAAATTGCTTTAAAAATCCACTTAATCCCTGGCACTCTGAGATGGGACTCGAATCCATGACCTTTCGTAATCCGGGTGACTGCTCTAACCACTAAGCTACCCAGTGATAGGGAAAAAGTGTATTTCTTTAGGTATTTCATTAAGAATGTAACAAAATAATTTAATTTCTCTTATATAGACAGGAGTACACTGAACTAAAAGAAGAACTGAAAGAAGAACACATCTAAGGAAAATCTGGCTGCTCAAGTTGGTTCTGATAGTCTGTCAGCTAAATCTTTATATCTATGTCCTACTGATGAGGAGGAAGTGGCCCGATATATCAAAGAACTTAAAGTCGATAGTGCTGTTGGTATAGATGGATGTACTCCGCTTCTCATCAATCAAATTTAGCCAACAATTCTTGTACCTAATACTCATATTTTTAATATGAGCATGTCAACCGGAAAATTCCCCGGCAAATTGAAAATTAGGAGTAATAACACTAATCCACAAAAACGGCTGCAAATCAATCTCCAGCAGCTATAGACTAGTAACTTTATTGAGTGTCTTTTCAAAATTACTTGGAAAAATAGTAAGCAAAAGACGGGTATCTATTTTGTAAAACTATAGCCTAATTTCAGATAAACAATTCGGTTTCAGGCGTCATAGATCAACGGAGGATGCTGTTCTACTGACGAAAAGAATTGCTTTATCTCTGAATCAAAATGAGTGTTGTCTGGGCGTCTTTCTTGATTTAGTCAACACGGTTTCGATTCCAATCCTTCTGCGGAAACTCGAAAGGACGGGTATTAGGGGTCTGGAATTCGACTGGCAAAACTTTTACCTTACGGGAACGCGCCAATGTGTCAGAGTTAATTTAGAACTGATTGGACCACTTCCGCTTGAATACGGAGTTCCTCAGGGTAGCATCATCGTTCCAATCCTATTTTTAGTTAATATGAATGACATCTTGAACTACGCTGACGATAGGGCCATCTTGTTTAGAAATAAAACTTCGGATACTATTAATGAAACAGCAAATAAAAGAATATCTGCCGTGGTCGACTGGTTGAACAAAAATCTATTAACAATGAATATTGGAAAAACGAAATATATGGCATACAACACCATATCTTAAGATCCATTCGAGCAATAATATTGGCAACGTTATATCCCACTCCTTATGTGATTGTCTGCTTAGAGACCGCACAAAGTCTATAAAATATTTAGATGTAATCATTGACGAAAAACTGTCTTTTAGACAACACATATCAGCTGGCAAAATCAGGAAAAGCATTCTCTGCAACTCTGCAGATAAAAATTTTATTACATTGGCGTATTACGCATTCTGCTAATCTTGCCTCCTGTACTGCATATAGTAAGTAAGTAAGTATTTTTATTGACTATCACATTACACATCCATGCATTACATGTGAATTATAAACAAAAATTAAAAGTGATACAGAATATAGCAGACGGTAACATATATATTTCAACCTATCATATACGTGTGATGGGGTCAATCAGGACCCTACCTAAGTTTGTGCTGCTACGGTGAGAATTAACTCACGCAACAGCTCTGGTATTCTGGTAGAGCCTATAGGTCAGTCTGGAGAGGAATCGCTAAAACAACGTTGATCGAATTGGAAAGAGCTCAGCGAGCAGTGTTAAAAGTAATATTGCGCAAGCCTTTTAGATATTCTACCAATGAACTATATAGGGAAAGTGGTGTTCTTCGTGTACGACAACTTTTTGTTTCCAAGGTGGCTGCCAAAACTCATAAAATAATTGTTAATAGGGATGACGACTGGGTAAAAAAATGCAATTTTATTTAGTACGTCAGTCAGATAATAGAAAAATATTAGACACGTATTTTTTTTTCTTCAATTTAACAAGAAATAGCTTTAATATTTAAAAAATATTAAACAAGTATTTTTTAATTTTTTTGTCTGACGGACAAACAAACAAAAATAAGTCGTCATCCCTATTCTTCTATTTTTCCAGTTGTTGCTAATTGTCGTATTTTTAGGGCTACTTTGCTCAATATTCGAACCAGTTTCGCCATAAGGCTCACTCCGTACTCACACATACACATTTGTAATAAAATTATAAGACATGTAAGCGATGTAAAAGTATTTAACAACCTCCGAATTAAAGAGATGTGCATATTCGTGGTTAAAGGGACTTGACTGGTAGTCAAGTCCCTTTAACAACGAATATGAAGAAACAGAAGACGTAGTAACCTGACTCGTAACACACACTGAAATGAAATGAAATGAAAATATCTTTATTCAAGTAGGCTATTACAAGCACTTTTGAATCGTCCAAAAATTTTTTTTTCCCCTACCACTTGTTCAGGACGTCTTTTAGAACAAGCGAAAGAAACTTACCAGCTTTTTATCATAAGTAATGACATTTACATAAATTATGTCATTACTAAAATAATATGTATTATCACAATAATAAATACAACTTTCAAAGTCTGTAGGACATAGGTTGAACATATAATTAGGGGCAATTCTTTGAAAATGCGCATATTGCCTCACATTAGGAGATTGTATAAAAGTTGTGACGAAATGTATTCTTTACGCGCATTATACATTGCTGCAAACATACCCTTAAAGAAATTATACAAGGGAATAATGCAAGTCTTTTAATTTTTAACTGACAAACATTTAAATTTTTGAGTGAATGGTAATGATATTTACAGTAAATGGTAATTAGACAGTGGTGAAGGTAATGAGAAATGGTAATTATAATTTCCCCTTCCCTCCCGGACCTCTGAGGAGTTCAGACGCTTATACGGTTGTTCCTTTGTCAATTTATAAATAATCAAAAAGTACTCATTTCTCAAAATAAATCATCTAACTATATTAGGAGTGCAGAAGTGCAAGAACATCGCCTGCGTAAGCCGCGGCTGTTAACATATCAACACAACAATAACTTTCGCGTGAGTTTGTTGAGACAAAAATATATATTATTCACCTCAGAACCACACCTATTTACGTTAATCTTAAGTACCTGGAAGATGCAGTGATATATAGTAATCTCCAAACAAGAAAGAGAAAAATATAAGTACGGCAGTTCAGTAACGAGAGGGGTCTACCTTAACTGGACGGAAAGCAAATTTGTATGAGAGCGCCGATCGGCAACCATAATATCGGACCTCTGCATTGAGCAAACGGACCGCTATCTACAGACAACTACGACCGCTTATGCTTTATGCTACCCTAGTGCTTAAACGCTTTACTTGCAGCTTTAAACGTTTAAACGTTTTTAATATATTTATAAAAATTGCTTTGTTATTTCTGTATATTTTTGTTGCTTTGCTTAGTTGGTGGACTTTTGCGTTTTTGTCCGATTTTCTTCTCTGCTTGTAACAACAACGCGTATTTTGATTTCGTAATATTTGGATTTCTTTATTTTTTGTAAAGATGCCCTTAAAACGCACGCCCCCGAAATCCCCCCGAAATGTTAAAGGGAATCAAAGTACGATGGCTACTATTGCTACTGTGGAAGCTCAAGGGACTACCACTACAAAGACGAATCTAACGCAAGAGTCATCTGATGCAACAGCAAAGGCAAAATCGAAATCGAAATCCGTACTCCTACATAGGGAGTTTGGTGACTCTCTTGATCAGGGCTCTGAAGCTCTCGCCTCGCAGCGCAGTAAACGAAAATTCGAAGGTGATGATCACAGCGATATGCGTTCATTTATGGCCGATATGAGAATATATTTTTCAAACTTTACTAAAAACCAGGATGAGAAGCTTCTGAATTTGCAGGAATCAATTTCGGATATTAAGACGCAGAATGCAGAAATATTTAAATCTATCGAATTTATATCTAACAAATATGATCAGCTCTCAGAAAGGCTCAGAAAGTTGGAGGAGGAAAGAGGGGAAAATTATAATTATATCTCTGCTATAGAAGAAAGATTGGATTTTTTTGAGAAGAAAGGTCGATCAACATATGTTGAAATTAGAAATATACCTAAAATTCCTAATGAGACAAAGGAATCACTAACATCTTTGATTGAGAAAATTGGAAGTAAAGTAGGTGTCCCGGTTGATCACAGAGATATAAAAGATATTTATCGAATAAACTCAAAATCCATTGAAAACAAACCTATTATAATGGAGCTGAATACAGTTGCAATAAAAAATAACTTCATTGTCTTCTCTAAGAAATTCAACAAATTGCAAGGAAGCGAGCACCTTAACACCCAGCATCTTCAGCTAGCTGGGCCTCCTAAAAAGATATATATAAGTGACTTCCTCACCCCGAAACTGAGACGTTTATTTTATCTAGCACGGGAGTTTGCAAAGGAAAATGACTTTAACTACTGTTGGTCTTCGAACGGAAATATCTTTCTCCGCAAAAGAGACGGTTCCTCTCATATTCGTATAAATACTGAAATGGATCTGAAGAAACTACAAAATATAAGGTGACTAAATTATGCAGGTGAATTATGTTGTATTAAAATAATATTTAAAAATGTTATAATTGTTTATTATAAAAGCAAAGTATTACTCAGACTAACCTATTATATACCTATACATACAAATACATTTTATTACACACATTCTTACATATACACATACAACGATTTAAATAGAGGAAACATATTATCTCTTCATCTGTGGCTCTTAAAACTATATTACTCCAATTTCATCAATGATCTGTACATACTTTTTGTTGACTTCTTTTTACACCAATTTCTTGTATGGATGACAACTCGAATTTAGTTGATGATGTTGACCAAATCTTCGTCTCCAATTCAGCTATATGCTCGCCTGAACAGTGTGGTGGATATTCTCATAACATAAATGAATCTCTCAAAATATTCCACGTAAATATTAGAAGTATAGGTAATGATGTCAACTTCAATAACCTCTTGGCTCTTTTACATAGAGTTAAAATACAAATGGATGTTGTTGTACTATCAGAGTGCTGGCTGAGTAAATGTCCTTACATTCCACAAATACCAAATTTCGACTCCTTTAAATCAAATCACTCTAATCAAAACGCCGGAGTTGTTGTATACATTAGACATAATTTACCGTTTACGATAGAAAACCCTGCTATTGCGGATGCAGATTGTGTGATGATCAAATTTCGTAATGAACTTGCACTTTTAGCAATCTATAGATCTCCTTCGATTCGAAATGCCAATGATTTCACAAATAGTCTTGATCTTATTCTAAATTCACTTAAATCGTTTAGGTCTATTGTCGTTACTGGTGATATCAATATAGACATTCTACCGAATAACACTGATAGCAATTGTGACAATTATCTAACTACAGCTGCAATGCATTCTATGTTACCAGGTCATCTTTTCGCTACGCGTGGCAATAAATGTCTGGACCATGCCATTATAAAATCTAACAAGCCAGCCATGACTCTCATACTTGATTCCCATATCACTGACCACGCTCCAATGGTTATTATTTGTAACATTAAATTTGAAACTGCAAAAAAGCATAAATCTACAACGCGTACTGATATCTCTGCATGTGTATCAGTTATTGAAAAAACTGACTTCTCATCAGTTCTCAATACGAATAATGCCACGGAAGCGGCAACAAACCTTGTTGACATTTTATCAAAAATTGTCACCAATAACTCTGTCACTAATAACTTTACAAGTAGAAACAGAATTTTGAAACCCTGGATCACACCAGGGTTATTACGTTGCATAAGAAATAGAGATAAACTTTATAAAAAAACGAAAAGGAACCCAAATAATCATTGCTTACGAATTACCTATACCGGGTGTTACAAAAATACCCGTTATAGCTGAAGGGTGTTGAAGTATATCATATAAACAGTACTCTGCCAAATTTTCAAAACCTTTGCATTAACTTTTAACTTTCAGTAAAAAGGCTAATTTTTAATAATTAATAAATACATCGAGTGTGCTATGTCACATCACTATTTTAGGTTAATGACCTTACCAGGAGTAATGGCACACTACCTATCTCCTATGTTTTCTAATTTTTTTTTCTATTCTCCTAGTACACACCCACACATACACACTAAGAATGAGAGAGAAAATATACTTAAAAACATGTCTGCGTTTGCCAGTTTACACAGTAAATACTTAACCTATTTCGATCGAAAATAAAATGAAAAGAAATTAAATAGGAATCAAATCATTGGCAAAATGGTATGGTAACCGACGCTGTTCAGCCGGTAGTCTAATTTCAGTAAAAAAAATTATAATACATATTATTATCAACGCGCACATCATTTCATAGCATCGTTTCCGACTCAGCTGTTTCTGAATTACAGATCAAACACCATTTTAAGTAGTACCTATTTATGATAGATAGGTAAAATTTATTTAAACACTGATATACGAGTCTAACTTTTAGTTCATACTTTAATGGTCCGACAAATCTGATTGATATTACGATAATAAAAAAAAAATGATATGCGACATAATTCACAAACGATTTTGGCGTATTTAAAAATAAATATTTGCGAATTACTATTTGTACTTTACCTTTTCACTTCCTTATTCACTGTTTAAGCATTACTTGTGAGGTTCACTCACCTACACTTTATTAGGCACTTAATTTTATTCCACAAGAAAAAACTAAAGATCGCGGCCAACCTCTGGTTCACTGACGTTTCAGTATAATTACATCTTTTCAAAATAGTCTCAATTTATATCAATACAACACTGCATCCCATGTAACACTGATAAAAGCACTTTTCATAGAACTCGGAATTAGAGAACACGGACATTTTCGAAACGTGATCACATCGACGACGTATGAACAACTGAATAAAGAAAAAGTGATAAAAAGGGAAAGCCGCCAATTTGAGTCCTTTATTATAAGCCGCTGCATAGTGTGCGGCATGTCAAAGGCGCACAGAAAGGTACCTATAGTTCCGCAATTAAATCTGAGAAGTAGCGAGATAGGGTTGCCATCTTCTCTTATTAGATCGGAAATTTTGTCCTTAAAGCCGGACTAAGTCAAATCTCTCGCGAAGCCGTAAAACAATATTACCGTAGTAGACAGTAATATTAGTTCACGGCTTCGCGAGGGTTACTGCCTAGTTATTCAGAGGGTGCGTTAAGCAAAAATCACTAACTTTCAATTGATTTTGTAGTAAGACGTAACATACAAATAAGCGGTAATTAAAGATAAGATAACTACATCATAATTTTAACGCTTTTATCACAGCCAAAACGTGAATTCATAAAATAAGGCTTGATCGTAACATCAAAACTGCACAACCTATTTTGAAAAAGGTTTTTTTTATAAAGTAATTTCGGAGACTATACGATGCAAACAAACTAACGATTTGTATTCAAATTTCGCAAATGCCCGTGCAACACTGCGTCTTTTTGGGTATTTGGGTATTTGACGTTTTTCGAATTTGTGTGTATTCATAGTTTATTTGATATAGCTTCGGCACAGGTATACCAAAAACCTATGAAAACTATACCGCCGGACATGTGACATTAACATTTAGCTGCACACAATCTAAAAAGTCAAACATGTCCCGCTAAAGACGGATAGATGACAACCCTAGACAGGCGGCAATGTTAAAGTTTGAGCCTAAACTTCTAGTTGCCTAGTACCGAGGTGATCAACATTTTATTGTACAAATTAAAAAAATCGTCGCAGGACATTGTTGCAACTAATTTTTTTACATACGTACGTAAGTACATAATACGTTACGTATTATGAACGTTACGTATTAGGAATTGTTAATTGACAAAGATTTTGTAAATTTTTATTGTTGTTGATAAGATAGTACATGGTTGTATTTTTAGTATTTACAAATTTAAACGTTGTTAATGTTTGGTAAAGACTAGTTTAAGTGAGAAATGTGATATACTTTCACGCTGCACCTGCAAACGAGCATGCTTGGCTCAGTCTGTAGAGAGGAAGTAGCATCGACTATCATAAGACATCGTTAAATAAATAAATTAATGTATTTCGTGGGCCGTAGTAATCTGCATACAATCGACATACCTGTTTAAAATTTTAATTCATTTTATACACCTTTTCTATTTTGAACTATTTTTCAAATAAATGACCATTTGTTTGTTAGCTGTGTCGGTCGTTTTAGGGCTTTTTCTATTTAAGGAAATAGGTAAACAGTACATAATAAAACGTCTCATTCATTTTCATTTCTTACAGCATTAAAATAGTGAATCCTATACTCTGATTCTAAAATTCAGTTGAATAGCCCACAGTAATAAAATAGATAATAAATTAAAATCCGTACCAAATGTTTACTACTACCGTATCTAGCGTCAAGTAGTCACTCGCGCGCGACATCACACAAACACGAACGATAATGTTTCGTTTCTTTCTCTCTCTCTCTTTCCCTCCCTCTCTATCTCTATCTTACGTCATTGTACACTCGGGGGAATAAGTGAATTTGTTTTAGGCTCGATTTTACCGATTATGTATTGATTTGTCTTACGTATTTAAATACCTAAACAATAAAAAATATTTTTAAGAGTTAAGCTAATGAAGTTATTTCTTAGCACCGGATACAACCCTTCCTGCGCGAGTCCAACTCTCACGTGGCCGGTTTTTTTTTTATAATTAGTTGTTAGCAGTTTGATAAAACTAGGACTTTTGACTAGTGAAATATAAAAAAACTTCAGTTATTGAGAATATTCAGTTGAGATTTTGTACTTTTCTCAATTCAGAAAGCGGCTCTTTGTCGACATTTTTTCTTGTCAGACGCTTTTAAGATACCTAAGTGTAGTGCATATCATTAACTCTAAGGTAGCAATCCATTTTACTTGAAACAATTTACATGTAGTAAGAGTAAGTGGTTGAAACCATAATCGGGAATGATCATATTCCCGATTAAGGTTCATATTCCATTTTAAGTCTGATCTTTTTATTGTAAAAATATTAGAAAAGAAATAAATTGACCATAAACACAATTGAAATATGTACACGAATATTGATCAATGTTTCAATTTATTCCCCGACTGTATCTGCGCTGACGTCATATTAGGTTTACTTTCGTAACAGAAGATTGTAGGTACGAGTACCAGGTTATCATGATTTAAAGACACGATGTGTAAAAATTCTGGTTCAAAGATGAAGCAGCTACAGATAGACAAAGTTACCTGGAAGACACTCAGTGATATACGTCGCCTACTTTCATAATATTGTAATTATTTTCATAAAAATGAAACTACCTAATTATGAAAAAAAATTGTTCGTGCAATAACGAATATTCTACTTATCTAGAGGTCGCGATATTTCTTCTTCCTCTGCTTCTCTATTTGTTTAGATTAGATGAAATTGATTTTATGAGTACATTATTGAGTGACGTGTCGTAGCATTAATTATAAAGATTATTATTTTGGATGGGCCGTCTACAGTTCGTAAAGAGATATTGTACGAGCATTTCAGGCGAAAGTATTTAATCCAGTGCAGTGACTATAGCGTACTGTTTA